AAAATAAATTGATTTTTTCAATAAAAAAATAATTGTAATTTGAAGTTGGAAGAAAGTTTTGGAAAATGTTATCCTTAAGTTAGTTTTGAAGGGAAGTCATTTTCCTTAAATTTGAGAAAAATGAGTTGATTTGAAAAACATTTTCCAAAACATTTAGCCCAACCAAACATGAGAAAATTGGAAACCTTCGTACCAAACACACCCTTAATGTAATTTTATAAGATCTCTAGTCAATAATAATAATAATTAGTAACCCAAAAATAATAATAAAGCATTTATTTAATATAGAATGATAAAAAATTAAACACCCTTGAGGGCGATATGTACAAAAGTTTCTTTCTAATATAGCAGCATAAGAAAAATTGTTGCAAATCAAAGGGATAAATTTGTAAAACATCAAATTAGAGGTTCCCAACGGCGGCATGGTAGATTACGGGGACGACGGCGAACCGGCGGGTACGTCTCCGGCTGAAGAAGTAATGACTACTTTTTCTCGCCACCATTTCGGAAGTTCTGAAGACACCGCCGATGGCTTCTCCGTCACCATTATCGAGGTCTTTCCTCTCTTTTAAATCTCTCTAATTTCACAACTCTATTATGTACAATTTCAAAAGCGAGAAAAACAAGAAGAATGAACTCAGCATAGCTATTTCCTTTTGGCATGTAACTAGAACATGAAAGAAGAGTACGGTTTGTTCGTATGGCCTTGCAGTATTATTCTAGCCGAGTACGTATGGCAACAAAAGTCGCGCTTTACTAGCGCATCTGTGGTTGAGGTAATGAACCTGAATTTGCTTTATTCTATTACTTGTTCTTTCTGTTATTGAAAATTTTATGACTTCGTTGCAAATTGATGTTGAAGCCTAGCAGTGTTTGTTGCCTATTTTGCGTACTGTGTTTTAGTCTTAGTTTGATTAGTGTTTTATCTACTTCTTATTCATCATATGGTTTACAGCTTGGGGCAGGGACCTCGTTGCCTGGGCTGGTTGCTGCAAAAGTGGGTGCAGATGTGACGCTGACTGACGATTCAAACAGATCAGAGGTCTGATTTTGTTACTAGTTTTTCAGTAGACACTGAATTGAGACTTCATTATTTGATCATAGCCCTTGAAACAGTGTTTTAACCCCGTTAATAAACTATGGATGTGTTACATATCTATATTACTGGTAATCTAAATTGGGTTCAAGAACTGGGCATATAATATCGCACAACAGGAATGCAGTATTTGGAATTATTGGTAAAGGAGAAGCCCTTTGCTTTTTTCCCTCTATCTTAATCACCTTGGAGTGTAAAGTGTTTTGGTGTATTTTGAGGCCTTTGTTGTCATGAAAAATCTGGTGTGCCCCACAACAGTATTGGTAATCGAAGTAATATGGTTACAGAAACTGTTGGACTGTTCTGGGTTTTAACTTGTAGAATTTGTCCTGGGGATGCTTTATATGAAATAGAGCTGCCATTGACCCTATTCTCACACACTCATGTTGCTTCAGTATTAGTGATCAACAATCTGAAGTTGCAGTAGTGATTGATGTCATTGAATTACTAAACAATTGATGCTAGTAGGTAGGCTAGAAAGTACCGATCCTGAGTAAGAATGTCTCAAACATTTTGAAGAATTTATTTGTCAGCACCTTGAACTCCCATATATGCACCAAGATACTTACTTCAGTTTTACTAGAACTGTTTTTCTGTTGATATACAGGTGCTCACTCATATGAGAAGACAGTGCGACTTAAATGATATCAAATGCAAGGTAATCTGCATGCTTTTGTTTTCTATATATGCAACTTCTCATTCCACATGATGCATTTTGTGTAGAAGGGGTAAACTGTGTCCATTTTACTTGAGTATCTAAGAGCATACAGAATGCCTTCGAACAGTGATAGTTTTTATGCGTGTCTCCTCCGTAGGTGTTATGAAGATCTTCTTTCATGCCTTTATTTTGTGCAAGATATCTATTTGAGGTCTTTCATTTTCACATTGCCCATGCTGTCATTGAAGTATTTTATTCAATTTTTTCTTCTAGATACACGGACTTACATGGGGTGTGTGGGGTACACAAACCTTCTGTCTGTGCCCAAACATTATCCTTGGAGCTGATGTCCTATATGACAGTTGTGGTAGGATTATCTTTATTTATCTTGTTCTTTCCTTCTTTTCTGGACCTGTCTACTGAAGTTGAAATGTCTATCTTGCATGGTTACCAAGCCTTTGATGATCTTTTTGCAACTGTGGCATTTTTACTCCAGAGTACTCCATCATCCATTTTTATTACTACATATCACAACAGAAGGTGCATTTCTATCTTCTTTTCTTGCTTTAGGTTCAGCTAAGGATTCTTTTCTTGTGTACTTAGCTCATTCGGAGGTATAGATGATCCAACTTCTGAGGGAGATGTTTCCTCTAATTGATTTAAACCATGTGTAGTGGGCATCACCTAATTGGATTTTTGATGGTGAAATGGGGCCTGAAGTGTGTTAAGCTTCTTGATGGGTTCTCATTCATGCCATCGTACAAGACGTCTAGTTTGAGTGGTAACATTCAATTGGCTGAGATTGTTTTGGACACAGCTAACGGAGACGAGAAAAAACTGATGTAACTGAATTCAAGCGTGATGGTGCCAAATATTAGGTTCTGCTGACGTATTTTACTTCCTCCACTGTAAGTCAGTGATCCACTACTTGTCAAATATATAGCTTTTTAAAAATCTTTGCTGCTGTCCTCTTATTTTTTACTTTTTAAATGATACCATAATTTGTAATAGTTCAGGTTTCTATGCAATAACTTGTGATCAACTAAATAGAAGTGACTAGTGCAACAAGGTCTTATGAAAAGAGCCATTATTTCCTCTAATTATTGCATTCAATATAATGAACTATGATAATACAAGGCATGATAGATAAAAGTAGAATTAACTTTGAATTAATCAGTTAACTGTCATGCAATTTTTTTAACAATGTCACCTCCTGTAAGGCTGCTCATCTTTGATCATAGAATTGGAAAAAACTTTGGAGTAATCTGCTTTTGAGCTAGCAAAATCATTAACCATATCTTTAGTTTTGGAGTACTTGAATAAAGCTTGTTCTGAATAAAACAAGCTCTTCCACCGGAGAATTTGCTTGTTATTGCATTCAATATAATGAACTATGATAATACAGGGAATGATAGATAAAAGTAGAATTAACTTTGAATTAATCAGCTAACTGTCATGCAATTTTTTTAACCATGTCACCTCCTGTAAGGCTGCTCATCTTTGATCATAGAATTGGAAAAAACTTTGGAGTAATCTGCTTTTGAGCTAGCAAAATCATTAACCATATCTTTAGTTTTGGAGTACTTGAATAAAGCTTGTTCTGAATAAAACAAGCTCTTCCACCGGAGAATTTGCTTGTTATTGCATTCAATATAATGAACTATGATAATACAGGGAATGATAGATAAAAGTAGAATTAACTTTGAATTAATCAGCTAACTGTCATGCAATTTTTTTAACCATGTCACCTCCTGTAAGGCTGCTCATCTTTGATCATAGAATTGGAAAAAACTTTGGAGTAATCTGCTTTTGAGCTAGCAAAATCATTAACCATATCTTTAGTTTTGGAGTACTTGAATAAAGCTTGTTCTGAATAAAACAAGCTCTTCCACTGGAGAATTAGCTTGTTATATATTATTATAAAGGTGGTTGATGATGGATCTATGGGTCTTCCCATGTTTCAGTGAATATATGCTCTTCAAGAGTGCTGCAAAGGCTGGGTGTAATGTAATGTCAATGTCATAGGTGGTATTGAAGTTGTGTATCCATTTATTGCATGATGAGCAATGGGAAAAAAACTCCTAGACTCTAGAGATAGAGTAGACCATGTGAGATTTGGAGCTTTGTCATATTCACCCGAGAGAGCCATCAAGTCTTCAATTGATAGACCCCTCTGAGAGAAACTTTGTTGAAGTCGATTTGTTCAATGCTGGACTTGGCAGCTGTTCTGTTTCACTAGCTTTTGATATTCACCCATCTTTTCATTTTCAGGCATATTCACTAAGGCCCACCAGAGCAAATCAACTTTATTAAGCTGGTAGAATATAACATTGATTGTATTTACCTGTTTTGGTAATACCATGTCAAAAAATAAGAAATAACTTTAATGCGCGATATCACTAATTGATAGGAAATCACTAATTTTCTCCCATTGTATAATGTGTATGACTTTGTCAATTGTCATACCATTTATCTATTTTTTGGGCATTCTAGAGTAATTAATATTAGAAGGAACTGATTTACTGCATTGCTGTCCTCTTTATATGTATTCTGTCTGCTTATCATAGGGGGAAATTTATCATCACCAGTGCATCTATCGCAGCAAAGGCTGAAGTATATGTGCATGAGACTATGCTGGGGCAAAGAGCTTCAACTGCTTTCTTTGCATTATCAATGACATAGGATGCATGCAAAGAAACATTAGGAGGACCATCTTTTTCTGCCAAGTTTTTCCCTTGGAGTTCAGCAAAACCAAAGCATCGCAACCCGTCAAGAAAGTAAAAGGGGGATAAAATCGTAAAAAGAAGAAGCAATGGGAGGGGGAAGTGTGAGAGAGTTTAACCATTATGGGATTTTTATAGTTGAATAAGGTTTGTGGTTGTGTACTCGGATGGCACTATCATGGAAATGCATCCTTGGAAGTGCTGCAGGCACTGTTTTGTCCTTCTTCGTGGCCTCCTCAACTGCTTGTTTGACTTGCCTCAGGACATGTGAGCTCAACATGGTACAAAATAAGACATTGATTCTTTATGCCAAGTACATAAGAATGGCAAAGGCTATTTATAGGAAGAAGGCCAAAGTTGTGTTATTTCTTTGAATTTGTTGATTTGAAATGGTTGGTTAAAATAGTGAATTTGGTTGCAGGCATGTTTGCTACAAGTTGTGGAGAGCGTTTAAGTTTCTATTGTTAGTAGATATATCATGTTACTTTTGTCTGCCTACCTTTTTGCAGCCTGCTGAACCTTGCCAAATGGGTACTGTATAAACCAGGCATGCCTCCCTTCTCTTTTTCGGGATGTGATCTCGCGGTTAGTGCATCGCTTGAAAATAATAGGAGAGGAGGGACAAATTACAGTAGAGACAAAATACTAGGTTTTTAAAAAAAAATCATTTTATCCCGTCTTGGTGGACAAAGTTATTTGTGCTCACAAGCTAGTTCAAATACCACAATTATAGGAACAAAGTGGTTAATCTTTATTTATAAATACTGTTATTCCTTTCATAAGTGGCTTGTTTTCCAAGTCTCCTTTTTGTTAGTTACAAATTTTGAAGTCAAAGTAATAAGAACATATAATTGTACACTCCCTCCTTACCTTTTTACTTGTCACAAATTTCTTTTTAGAGCCAAATGATATAAATTTTGACCAGCATCTATATTTTTCATCATATTAATATAAGAAAAATTATAATTTGTAGTAATTTTGAATATCTAAATTTGGATTTTCAAAATATTTTCGTAGGTATTTCTTTGCTCAGGTACATGTTTCAGAATATTGCACGGTTATATATATCAGAAAAAATGGATATTTTGTTTATTTACTTAGTCCCACGTGACAAATGTTAAAGTTAAGCCGGAAAACGACTAGTAGAGATAAAACAAATCAAACACTTCAAGAATAAAACCTTTGTGCATATTTTACATTTAACTAAATATCAAATATAGTACTTATATTTTTTCTTCACAAATTAAAAGATAAATTCAAACTATAGAAGATAAAATTCGATTGGAAAGAGTAAAGAGTAACCTCAGCCACCAACCAGAGTTGTGGCGGAGTGGTAAATGCTCCTTCCAGGGGGCGGCTCTAATAAATCGGTGGCCTAAAGACAAATTCGAATGAAGGCCTTAAATTTGAATATATATTTTTTATGAAGTTTATTATAGTCAATTATTTAATCTTTGAGACAGAGTATTAATAATTTGTCAAACTTCTATTACTTCTTTGCTCTTTTATAAAAAGTTTTTATTTTCTCGATATTTTTAAAAATAATAATACTTATAACCTATTATTTTTTTAAAAAATAATACTTATAACCTATTATTTTTTTAAAAAATAATACTTATAACCTATTATTTTTTTAAAAAATAATACTTATAACCTATTATTTTTTTAAAAAATAATACTTATAACCTATTATTTTTTTAAAAAATAATACTTATAACCTATTATTTTTTTAAAAAATAATACTTATAACCTATTATTTTTTTAAAAAATAATACTTATAACCTATTATTTTTTTAAAAAAATGAGGCCCCTCAAATTTTGGGGCATGCTTTTTTTTGCAAAGCTGTAGAGCCGCCCCTGACTTCTTCATTCTTAACCAGAAGTCTTGAGTTCGAATTTTCCTTGATAGGGAGTTATCTTTGTTAGGTAGGCTTTAGCCCCTCAATGTGGGTACCGAACATCATGCCGAAATAAATAAATAAAAAATAAACCTCGGCCTATTTGTCATTACCGTTAAAGGTTAGGGGGTGTAAGTGCAAATTGATAGAAGATTTTGGGTTTTTTATAAAATATATTCTCTTGATCTCGTACGCACAAGGAGAAAAAGGGCTATGCCGTGTTTGGATGGCCGAAATTGTGAATTAGGGGAAAATCCAGTTGTTTACTGTAACGAAAGTAGGTCAGTTTTTACAGCAGCAGTTTGCTCAGAGGTAAATTCTCTCTGTTCGATGTATATTTTTATTATTATTATTTATTCGTCTGCATTGTTCATATAAAAAAGATCACATAATTTCTCTTCTGTTTCGTAATTTCTAGGGCTGTCTTTTTCACCAATTTGATTACTATGAATTGTATAAAGTGGAAATTTTAGAATTTTATCAAGCTTATAATCGAATTGGATTAACTTTTGGCGCGTGATTAGTGATCAGACGAGATTTGAACCATGTATCCAAGTGGCCACAATGAAGTTGTCATCACTACACTTTAATTCTTTCAAGTCCAATGTTGGTCTGTTCTACTAATTTAACGGGATATCTGTATGACAGATGGAAAGGAATCACCTAATGTTTTTGTATCTGTTGTGATTTGAACTTCTCAAATCACTCTATTGACTACTGTGTCATACCTTGAGTGCCAATAGACCTTTATGTATTTGTTCCTTTGTGGAAAAAAATTATATACTTTGGTGTTTGTGAGTTAACAAATGTGAAATTGCTGTTTTCTAGTATTGAGTTATAGTTTCCGGGTAAAAGGTTCACTGAAATTGCTAATTGTTGTGATAGGTCGAAGGCGAATTAGTTCATTTGCATCTGTGTATGCATGAAAATTTGAAACTTTAAGGAAATGGAAGAAGAGGGTATATTCTTTAGTGTTTGGTACATAACGTCTTGTTAACTAGAGGATACCGTTTCTCCTTTTGATAAAAACTTCATGTTGGATAACGCCTCAATCTTTACGTAAATACTAAATTCTCAATGCAAGTGTCTTTGGTGATACATGTATTCATCTTTGAAGATTACTTGGATGTTTGAATGCCTTCTTTGAGATGAAAAACAAAAGTTTTCAAGCTTGAAGTTCTGTTATCTCTGAGTTGTTCTTGCTTGTCATGGTAAGGCGCAATACTGCTGTAATTAATAATTGTACTTTTGTTCAATCAAATAGATGGCTGGGAGGCCGGCTCGTTTGAAAACACAGGTAACTGTGCAGCAGCGAGAATCCCAGTGTAGAGCTAAGTGGACCACATCTCTTACTATAATATTGGTGGGGTTAATGGTAGACGAAGTTCAAGGAGGGAATAAACAAAACAAATCTTTTAGCAAGAAAGGTTGGAAATGTATTTGTGATGAGTTTCATAAAAGAACCGGTCTTACATGGGAGAGGGAGCAATTGAAGTATCGATATGCTGCACTAAGAAAGCTTTTTGCTACTATGAAATTGCTACTTGATCATACTGATTTCAAATGGGATGAAACTACAGGTTTAGTGACAGCAACAGATGAAGCTTGGGATCGGTACATGAAGGTGTGTTCCCACATTTTCTGTTCTGAAAAGAAATACTTTAGCTGCTAGGACACACTTTTCTGTTTGCAAGTTGAACTCTGGTTTCCTTTTTATTTTCTTATAACTCCTAATTCCAGAAGATTCTTGTGAACGAAACGTCCTTTTTCAATGCCTAAGTAATTCATTCATGGATCACAAAAGTGATTTATTGACGGATTGCAGTTTACCATATATAAGTTTTTCATGCCAAGGTCTTTATATTGTTCTTATAGAAATCATCCATCACAAAACCCCTCCTTGACATGTACTAATCAGGAACATCCAGATGTGGAGACCATAAGGAGCACAGGCTGCCCATTTTACAAGGGACTGAGCGTGATATTTGCGGATTCTGGAAGTAGAGGGACAGATAATGGATTTACTATGCACAAGGACCGTCTCCCTGGTTCATCATCTCATTCTCAACCTCCAACACTGTCCCAGGAAGAGTTGTCATATTCAGAGTCTGAAGAAGGTCCTGATTCCAATGAGCAAGAAATTATTCAATCTGTGAGCTCACCTACTGATACAGGTCGAAAGAAAAGGCGTAAGGGGGTTGATGGTGCTATTGCAAGAGCTATATCCGAGATGGCTGCTGCTTCAAGACTTAGAGCTTCTGCTGTTGAGAAGTGCAGTGACAAGTTCACCATAACCGACTGTGTTAGAGCGTTGGATAAATTGGAAGGTGTCAATGACCAAGTTTATTATGCTACTTTGGATCTCTTCAACAATCATGCAGCTAGGGAGATTTTCTTGTCTCTCAACGTTGGGAAGCGGCTGACCTGGTTGACTGGCAAATTGTCTGGTCCTCCCTAATTTAAAAATTAAGTTCTCCTAATCTTGTTATATTCAAGTAAGCAACCATATCCTATCTCAAGTAGTCATTTATTGGTTTTTACAGAGCTGGAAGCTTCATGTATAGACCACATTATTTCTCCTTTTTAACAACTAGGAGTAAGAATCTATTTCAGAATTTGGCAACTGTGAGATTAAATTTTGGCAGGAGTTGAAAATTGCTGCACGAGGGAGCATTTTGTTAAAAAATTGAGTACACTCATCATACATTCGGATGAAATCTGCCATTGTTTCTGTTCATTATTATTTATAACCAGTGTGGAAGCTAAATCTCTTCTAAACTAATAACATCCTCTGATGACAAACCCTAGTAGCTTGTCTTGCACAAAATTAATCAAAGCGTAGTCACCACTTTCATCAACCGTACTCTGTCAGAAAGGTTTTACCTTTGATATTCACTCTTCAGAATATCTGCATTACCAGGTTTTTGATGAATTCTATATATACATCAAGTCAAAACTAACTCTTCCTTCTATTGTGGCTGCCTGGATCACAGCGAAGCCACTCTGTTTCAGTGTCTCTCAAGGTAAGATATTGTGCACCTCATCCTTATCTTTAGCTTGATTATTATGTATCAACTCAAATGCATGTGTCCACACATTAGTGATTTCTGTCAGCTAGGTTATTCTTTTATACTAGTGGTGTTCAGGTCAACTTGTGTGTACCTCGACTATACATGTTGCCTCTCACCAGTATAGATACCAAGTGAGTAGAATCTGGAGATTATTCAATGTCATCACCCGTGTTATTATCACTGTCTAATTTGTCATACTTTGGCCTTGTCATCCTCAGCCTTTGCTCCTCTCTCAACCATGATCCCAGGGTTCTTACATTTGGGCTAGTAGAGGTTTTAGGTATAGAAAAAGTGTCATACTTGAACTTCAACAATCAAAGCTCAGTAAGCCTTCTTCTCAAGCTCTTTGAATGCCATTTTCCGACTTCTTTTGCTTGAGTTTTTCTACTTGTTGCACCAAAACAATTCCTTCGAATGCTACTTTTTATCTGGAGCATTGTGTAGTCCAAGTTGCCACCCTTCACTGCAGTATTGGTCTATTATCACAATTTGGTATTGTGGTGGTTTCAAGGTTTTGATTCATGCCCCAAATTGATACATGTGTGGGAGCATGTTATTCATTACAATTTCTTATTTCGCAGTGAAATACCTAAAAAAAAAAATCATGGTCGGGAAGGTTAGAGCAGCCAAAACCATTGGAATTTTGATTTTATACATTGGAAAAATCCATTTTGCTATTAATAGACTAGGAATGGGGAAAGGATTAACCGAAAGAAAAGCAGTCAATTAGTTATTCGTCATTTATTTATTTAATGACCAAAATTAAATGGGGATATATAGCTAGGAAACATAGAATACAAATTCATTTATTTGCATCAAGCTTTCAAGGGGTTCATTCAAGGCATACTAGAACTATCACTCAACAGAAAATAAGAGCTTTAGTTCAGCCCATCGGGATAGGAATAGGAAAGAGAGAGATTCTCGTCGTTAAAATAAAAAAATTATTGTTACTTTAAAAAAAATAAAATCTTGAGCTAAAATTTGCATTGTGATTATAAAAGTTAAATATACTATGTTAAAATTATTGAGATTAATCGGGTCAAATTGGGCGGGTCAAGACCCAATCCATTTGAGCCCAAACTAAACTTGGGCGGGTCAAGACCCAACCCGATTTCTATTTCAATCCATTTTAATATCTCCAATTTCAACCCAACCCGCTCATTTGGCATCCCTAACTACTACTAATCATCATCATCATCATCATGTGTTCACTCAGTTAAAGAGGGAAAACGCAGGGAAGAGTAACAAGTTCCACAGGGCAATTGTTGGTGGAGGCGGCACATGGAAAAGATCCGACATTAGTAAACCAATTTACGACAAGAAAAGACAGTGATTGGGTTCAAGATCAGGTTCCGTTTTGATGAAAAAAACCAAGCCCCAACCTGGTATATGAAAGAATATCGCCTTAGTGATAAAATACTAGAGGACTTGAGACTACATGGTAAAATTCGATATGACGATTTTGCTGTATGTAGCACTAGGAGGAAAGTCAATTCAGAGAATTTTCTTGGCAGTTGTTCATCACAATGTCAAGAAACTTTGAAATCCAGTGCAATTCCATCTGATGAGTTAAACAGTATTTTGAACGGGAACATGAAATCAAATGTGACCCAATTGCCTGCTGCAATACAAGAAGAATGTTCTGTTCCTGTGCTTCTTCAAGAAACTCTCTCTGTTAGTTTACTCGCAAAAGAATCAAATGTGCCTGCTGCAAAAGAAGTGGAAGAATGCTCTGTTCCTGTGGAAACTCGTCCGGATTATGACATTGCTACTTACCACAAAGAACTTGATGCGTATGCTGCCTCTATACTCGAAACAATTACGTTCCAGAACCCCAAGAAGATGATGATGAAATCCCACTTTTCAGCGAAGATTTTTATATTGGTCATACAAATCTGTGGAGTTAAGTAATCTGTGATGGTTGATACAACTCATTCTTATGTTTTTAATTGTTTTTATCTGTCAATGCATTTCTGTAACAACTCAAGTTACCACACAACGAGGATATCTATTATAATCGTTGACAATACAAAATACAATTGAGAACTGGAAACAACAAGCAAGTAACCACTAGCGATTCTTAAAACGAAACTCAGAAAGTAATCAAAGGGGAAGAAGATCAGAAATTACAGAGATGGATAGAAGGAAATGAGAAGCTTAGACTAAGAACGGAGATGAGAGGAATCAGACTCTTTTCTTAACAATTTGCATAATTCCTAAATCACATTGCACTACCTTTTTTGATGGAGTCGTTTCCATGCCCACTACTCAATCCGGATCCCAAATTAACCTAGCCCTATTGCTTGTTCTCGGCCCAATAGCTCTTGTCATCCCTATAACTACTTGTATGACGTTGGTATCCAGAATTTCGTTCATAACAATTTCAGTTTCCTTTACTTTGTGGTTTCTAAATCTGGTTTATGAAAATATTTCTTAAAAGGTTTAATAGTTGAAAAGAAAACTGCAGTGTTTGGATTAAAGAGATTAATGGTTAGCTGCAAATCACCATTGAGCCCATTACCTTACTTGGTTAGAACGTCGTGCCAAAGGGCACAGGTTTAAGACTTGCATTGGCCATTTTGTGTTTAATTATTTTCCCTTCAAGTCTCTCTCTGATATTTTCGGTTCAGTTGTCTTCACCACTTTGATTTTTTCCATCATTTTTCAGTTAGTTGCGTGAAACTGTAAGGTCAAGTTTCATTCACAAAATTTCTACTTTTTTCCAAGTAGAGTTCATGTTTAAACACAGTTTCACTTGTACAATTTGTTCCAAGTTGAGGTTTCCGCATGACAACACACTGATTCACAAAGTATAGAGGAATAGCGTGTTGCTACCTCTATACCGTGCTTAAGTCTTGAAGTGAGGCTCAAACGTGTTGAACACTTTGTCTCGCTTAATGTGTCTTCATCAAGGTGCTAAAATATACTTTTGAAGAGGCGGCACTAAACTATTTATATCTCACTTCATTGTTAAAAAAGGATCAATTTCTTAGATTATATATTTATCATTCATGCTTATAATTATTAGTCTTAGACTATATATATATATATATATATATGTATTGTTTCTCCTTTTGCGTCTCTTTACATTAAAGTAAACGTTTTTTTCCTCTTTTGATAACACTACCCTTTCCATACTTATCTATCATTAAAAATCTAACATGGCAGCTTCCATGCTACATTTTTAGTAAACATCATCGGTAATAGAAATTAGTTACACTCAGATGAACCAATTTCATTGATCACTGGACCATACCGTACCCTTCTAAATCTGTCTCTAACTTAATGTAATCGACGACATAAGGAGAATAATCAATATATACATGTACTCTAAGTTAAGGGAAACAAATTTGTTATCAATCCCTATAATTAAGTTGTCTATGTATATTATAAGGATTATGACTATTTATTCTTTGTCGTTTGGTAGGAAGAATTAAGAGAAATAGTTCATGCATTATGTATGGTATTATTTAGTTTTATATTTGGTAGGAATTTTGGTTATATGCCTTCCATTTAGTAATATTAGTAGTAATACATATGATTTAATACCATGAGATTAATCTATGTAGAGACAAAAATATCCATCAAATCCTTATAATCATTTTATTTATTTTCTCGATTTTATGTTTTATATTTGTACTAGTAAATTTATTTGAATAAATTAGCTTACAAATTTTATTATTTAGAGAAAGTTGTTTGTTGCTAAACAAATCGAGTACAAATCAATACAATATTTGAATAAATTAGCTTACAATTTATATTATTTAGAGAAAGTTGTTTGTTGCTAAACAAATCGAGTACAAATCAATACAATATTTGAATAAATTAGCTTACAATTTTTATTATTTAGAGAAAGTTGTTTGTTGCTAAACACATCGAGTACAAATCAATACAATATTTGAAATGTGAGTTGTTTAACATTTACTAATTGAAAGGTAAATATATTACCACATGATGTTTGTGATCTTAATTGAATGTATTATTTGTTGATATATATGTGATTTTCTAATCATTTGTATTTCAAACAATTTATAAAATTACATACATATTAAAACTACAACTTGCAATTTTTATGTGTAAATGTAGATTGTTTATTCGATTTTATTATCTTTTACCGTCTATTCGATTTAAAAGTAGATGATCTATCTTTTTTAAATGGAAATTTGATGTTTTGTGAGTGATCAGTCGAATAAAATGACAATCAACCTCAATATATTTAATTCTTTCATGATATATCGAATTTGAGGCAATATGAAAAGCAACTTGATTATCACTAATCACACCAAATTTTTGTCGGTGTATGATGCTTCAACCCAATTTCAATTAAAAAATGATGTATCCAAATAATTTCATTAGTAGACTGCCACATGTACTCAATTTTTGCACTGAATCAAGATATGACATTTTGTTTCTTACTCCTTTATAATACTATGTTCCTTCCAACAAAAACACAGTAGCATGTAGTAGGTCTTCTATTATTTTTAGATCCAACCTAGTCAACATTTGCAAAAGACTCAACACGAGTATGGGCGTGATTCCTATACAATATACCAAGTCCATGAGCTCCTATCGCCTTTTAGTCTAAAAAATATCATCAACTCAAATTTAATTTAATTGAAATTTTTTACGAATTAGTCTGTTCTTTCATTTGTTTTAAAATATAATATTTTTAATTATACACATTCTTAATATAAACTCATCCCAAAAAATTTCAAATATTTAAATCTAACTATATTTGAAATGAAAAATAAATTATTTACGTTATCAAACTTTTTTGTAACAAAAACTAAAAAAAGAAAGAATAAAATTTAGCTAATTAATATATTCATAGACTACACGATTTTATCCTAATCAACACTAACTAAAGAAAATTTTACTTACTATTCTAAAACAATAAAAGGCATATTTTTAGTTAACGGTCACTAACTAAAAATTATGTGTGAGTTTCTAAAAATGGATTCCAATCCTAAAAAAACTCGCTTAATCCATTAATTTACACGGTTTGTCTCTCTATACATACCAAAGGGCACGTTGGAGCGTTAGTCCTTTTTTTTCTTCTTTGTTTGTTTTTGGTAAAATATGGGGATGAATTTTGATGATGAACAACTCATGATCTCTCTTCTCAAATTTGTTAGTGGTAGCTCTGTTCAATTTCAACTTGTCGACTTGTATGGCAACAACAAACCCTCTCAGTTATTCGATACCACCACCACTACTGCTACTAAATATCATGTCTTTATTCAGTTAAAGAAAAAAAAAGGGAATGGTAAGAACTTCAACAGGGGAATTGTTGGTGGTGGCGGCTCATGGAAAGGAGTTGACAATAGTAGACCAGTTTACGACAAGAAGAAATCAGTTATTGGGTTCAAGAAAACTTTCCGTTTTGAGGAAAAAAATCATGTCTGGATTATGAAAGAATATCGTCTTTGTGATAAAATACTCAAGGCCTTAAGACTACGTGGTCATACTCGACATGAAGAGGAATTTGTTGTATGTCGCATTACGAGGAGCGTCAATTCTTCTCAGGTTATCATCCCTTCAGATCACAATGTAGAGAATTTTCTTGATTCTCTACTAATTTCTTCATTACAATGTCAAGAATCCTTTGCTCAGAATCAATTTCAAGATTTGGGACAATCCTTTGCTCAATATCAGTTTCAAGAAAATCAAAATTTGGAACAATCCAGTGCTGCCTTTGCCCAGAATCAGTTTCAAGAAAATCAAGATTTGGGACAATTAAGTACTCCTAATGTAATTCCATCTGATGAGTCGAACAGTATTTTGAATGGGAACCAAATTGGTCCAGTTAGTTTAGTGTTGAAAGAATCAAAATTGTGTGCTGCAATAGAAGAGGAATGCTCTGTTCCTGTGGTTAATCAACAAACTCCCTCTGTTAAAGAAGTAGAATGCTCTGTTTATGACATTGCTACTTACCACAAAGAACTTGATGCATATGCTGCCTCTGTACTCGAATCAATGGTTCCGCAAGAAGATGAAGCTGATTCTATCCCACCATTTTACGAAAATTTTTATATCGGTTTTACAGATCTATGGAGTTAAGAGTTGGTGATAGTTGATACAACTCAAGCCTTACAATTTTGTTTGCCCAATTGTATATCTGTCAATGCACTTTCACTTTTCTTTTTACACCAGTCCTTTACTTGGTGGTTTATAATTATTTTTTAATAAAAATATTTCCTTTATACATGAAAATAAAACTGCACGGTTTGGGTTAAATAGATCAATAGAAATCTTAGTTAAGACCTAAGAGAAAATGAATAGGCAAACACGCTCTCGTGATGAAAACTTTGTTTGACATCTCGAAAATGATGTATTCCAATCTTATATATTAGTTTCTCAAATGTTGACAGTCGTAATGCTATAGTAATAAATGTGCAAGATTATCGCTTGAACAAATTTGTTGAATAACTATTTGCCTATTTCACCATTTTGTTGAAGATCATGCGTAAAAAAGTACTTAGGTGAAATATGTTTTGTTCAATCTCCTATGATGAAACGTTCCTTCAATTGAGCTATGCAAACAGTACTATCTTCATACAATATTGTTGAAATTTTTATTTTTAAAGAAAGATGACATAATTGTAAAGTATGTTGAGTTATTGACCTTAACCATACACACTCTCGATTATCTTTAAAATAACTATTATCTCTAGATTCTCGAAGAAGTGACAATTATTATTATATTCATCGAACACCATGATGTAAATGTACCTCCATATGTAAATAAATAGATCATGCTTTATGTGGGTTAGACAAATATCCACATCTGCATAATCAATCACCTCTAACGTGAATGTATAAGAATAAAACAATCTCATATCAATTGTTCCTCAAAGATATCTAAATATATTCTTAATACCTTTTCAATGTCTTCTTGTTGTAGAGAAGCTAAATCTCACCAATAAACTAATTGTAAAACAAATATATGATTAAAGATGAAAGAGTATTTACCACTACACCACAACCCTCGTTGGTTTTTATTAACTCTATATTATGGGCTACTACTCGTATGCAAAATAAAGGTGATAATATATGTAGTATTTAAAAAGGACCAAAAGAAAAGTTAAAAGGATTCTTGAAAAAAATATGTTGTACATTAATTTATGTATTGAGTATTTATTATGTTTAAGCACTAAATTAAGGTGATATTCCATTTGTCCCCGGATGGATATCTTATTAAAAATAGTTGTCTCATACTCTCATATTACTTGATCACTCACTAAATTAGGATAGAATTAATTAAATTTTTCCCATTTTATCCGTACAATTAGTATGACCTTTGGAATTTTGAACAATTCTCAATACTATAGCTATTCCTATACTCTGTGTATTATTTTTCTAACTTATTTTATGTGCATTGATATGAACAAAGAACAAAATAGTAAAGTTAATCAATCTATTAATGATTTCTTAATTACCGTGTAAAATAGAAAATGCACCTCTAATAAAGGACGGAGGGAATAATATATACATTCATTAATCATGATTAGTACAAAAGGGACATGTATAGAATTAGACTAAAGTAATTAATCCATACTGGTAATTACGCTCGCTTACTCAAAGACAAGGTAGTGTCTTGAAAATTCTTAGGAAGTCGTTTGGTACACGGGATGAGATAAGCAAAATATTCCACCTTTTATATTAGATAGTAATCCCACTAAAGGGATGTGTTGTAACACAATGATATTATTATCCTTATTCCACATAGTCAATAAACTCAAAACATTATACAAAGCATATGTTGGCTTTATTTCACTTATAATCTCACTCAAGTTGTTTATTACTCATAATAGTCAAGTGATTAGACTATTTTTTGAAGCATTAAAACAATAAAATTTTAGTTACCATATTATAATAAAAAAAAAGGCACAAAAATTAGTTAACGGTAACTTTATATTACGTGTGAATTGTTGAGCGTTTCTTGTTTACACGGTTTCTCGTTAATTTTCTTTCTACAATATATATATTATCTCTCTTCTTCTTCTTCTTTCTTTTCTACTCCTCTGTTTTCTTTTCTTTTTCGATCAAATATGGGGATGTATATTGATGATGAACAGCTCCTTAGGTATCTTCTCAAATTTGTTACTGGTATCTCTGTTGAATGCGACGAAATTCGACTCGTAGACTTGTATGGGAACAACAAACCCTCTCAGTTATTCGATACCACGGCGACTACTGCTACTGAATATCATGTTTTTACTCAGTTAAAGAAAAAAAAAGGGAATGGTAAGAACTTCAACAGGGGAATTGTTGGTGGTGGCGGCTCATGGAAAGGAATCGACAATGGTAAACCAGTTTACAACAAAAAAGGATTAAAGATTGGGTTCAAGAAAACTTTCCGTTTTGATGAAGAAAACCATGTCTGGATTATGAAAGAATATCGTCCTAGTGATAATATACTAAAGGCCTTGAGACTACGTGGTCAAATTCGACATGAGGAGGAATTTGCTGTATGTCGCATTACCAGGAGCGTCAATTCTTCTCAGGTTAACATCCCTTCGGATCACAATGTAGAGAATTTTCTTGATTCTGTGCTAATTTCTGCATCACAATGTCAAGAAACTGTGGAATTCTTTGCTCAGAATCAGTTTCAAGAAAATCAAGATTTGGGACAATTCAGTGCTGTTTTTGCTCAGAGTCAGTTTCAAGATTTGGAACAATTCAATACTACTAATGTAATTCTATCTGATGAGTCGAACAGTATTTTGAATGGGAACCAAATTGGTCCAGTTAGTTTAGTGTTCAAAGAATCAAAATTGTCTGCTGCAATAGAAGAGGAATGCTCTGTTTCTGTTCCTGTGGTTCATCAACAAACTCCCTCTGTTAAAGAAGTAGAATGCTCTGTTTATGACATTGCTACTTACCACAAAGAACTTGATGCCTATGCTGCCTCTCAACTCAAATCAATGGTTCCTTACATTCCGCAACAGCAAGAAGATGATGAAGCTGATTCTATCCCACTTTTCTACGAAGATTTTTATATTGATTATACAGATCTCTGGAGTTAAGAGTAGCTGATTGTTGATACGACTCAACTCTTAAAATTTTGTTTGCCGAATTGTGTATGATTTTAATTTTATCTGTCAATGCACTTTCACTTTTCTTCTTACACCAGTCCTTTACTTTGTGGTTTAGAATTATTACTTTTTCATGAAAATATTTCCTTATACATGAAATTCAGTGCTGCTAATGTAATTCCAAGAAAACTGCACTGTTTTGATTAAAGAGATTAATGGATAGCTGCAAATCAAGGCCCATTAGCTCAGTTGGTTAGAGTGTCGTGCTAATAATGTGAAGGTCGCAGGTTCGAGACCATCTTGTCTTTTTACAAGTTCGTGATTAATTTAATTCAACATAACAAACAACCAAATCTTAATCTTAACTAGTTGCTAGTTGTGTATTTCATCTGTTAAATTATAAGTAGTACTAATTTTCTGATTGTTTTCCTCTAGCTTTATTTTGTTGAATGATAAATCCTAGAAAGGCCATACCTTCAATCTATGTGCAGTAAGCCAGTAATATAAAATCCCCTTTAAAAAGTGTCCTGAGCCTGAAGCAACTAACTTTTCCGCTTTCTCTCCTGGGAGCCAATGTGGTCCAATACGCTGCACATTACTCTTCCAACACCTTCTTCATTATCCGATTCATTGTCTTTGGGAGCTTGAAATGAGAAAAAGTAATGCGAATCATCGAGCTTTACCACAGCAAGGTCCTTAGTCAATGGCCTTTTTACTGGATTTCATTTCCAACAGGAACAAGTACTGAAGTAGAGAGTAGTGCTTGTCGATCAAGTGGAGAATGGAACAGGGGAGGAGGGGCAGATGGTGAATAATGCTGCCCTGGCTGTTATGTTATTCGTCATCGAGAAGATCATTTTACTAATATCAATAGGAACTTGTGGCTGTGTCAAGGAAATTGCTTCAATAAGATTCTTTACTTCCTCTCCCCCTAATCAACTCAAATGATTGAATGCGCTTTGCACTTAAAATCTCCAAGATACATACTTTCCTAAGCTGTCTCCAGAAGGAGAGAATGAAAGGCTGGGGATGTTATCTTATAATCTGTACAGAAACAAGTTGTGGCCTATTAGCAAATATTAAGTCATGGGATTTCATTACCTCTTTTGACACTTGTGGTGATGTTAACATAAACTTCAATCGAACACACCACGGCTAACTCTAGCCATGAACTCGACATTACAACTGAAATGATCTATGATCCTTTATAGCATAGGAATAGATCTTACAATGTTTGAACACAAGACACTAAACTCAAATAACAACTAAAGACTATTGTACATCCCTTACTGCTTATGAGAATAGTGCTTTATTGAGAGAGATGACTTTTGCTTTGAACAAAAACAATCTAGTAGACTGCCATTGGGTGAGAGCTCTGCGCCTAAGCTATCAGGCCCACCTACCCCAGTAGGTGTAGCAGCTTTACAACTGCATTAACTCATCCTGGATAGCTCCTACTCGAGGGATCAGATCCCTCTACCAGATCTCATAGTTAGTTAATTCATCAAAACATAGGAATGTAACAATCTAAGATCTAAAGTATCAGCTGGCCCTTTTTGTTACTGAGTTGCACCTCTGTTTCTTTATTGTCTTTTTTTCTTTCGTTCCGATTGGAACGTTTGTTTAATCTCTTCATTGATTTTATCAGAATGCAGTCCACCAAGACCAAGGTTCAATGTCTTAGTAGTGAAGGTCGTCTATCTATACAGAAAGAATCCATTTGATCAACCGAGTCAGCCAGTGAGGTAGTAGTGAAGGTAAAGGTGTATTTACAAGGTCGTTCATGTCATTTCTCTTTCTCTAATCATCGACAAATTTTGATTTCAAATTCTCATTTTGTTGCATTGTTTCAAAAATAATATTATAAGTAAAAATATTGTCAGCCACAATTTTATTTTGATTCCATCTTTTTCTTGTCGAGACAAGTTGCGATAATTTGTTTCTCTTTTTTTCTCGAGAATTTTAATCATTGGAACCAATCATTTTAACTGGTAATACGATCTAAGTTCCTTTTTAGTTCAGGAATAGATCTTACAAAGTTAAGACACAAAACGCAACTTTCCGATGAACAAACTTAAGACTCACTCTATCAGGTCCCTTGTAGTTCTTGAAAGTTTATTCTTTTGCTCAAGAGAGAGAAAGCTGCTAATGCCAAAATTCTTAGACGTGTGTGTGTGTTAGTTTCTCGTCAACAAAGGTATAATATGCTCTCAGCGAAACAACCTAGTGTGATCTCATTGGCTGAGAGCTCTGTCCTCTTTTCCGTGCTCGCCAACCATAACAGAGTTGGCAGTTTTTACAGCTGTTCCACATTTGTCCTGGAACATGCGATACTCATGGGACCAGGGCCCATTGTTTGTTAAGATCATCAAAACTTCAGAGTTACACAATGTCAAGAAACTATGAAATTCAGTTCTGCTAATGTAATTCAATCTGATGAGTTAAATGGAATTTGAATGGGAACATTAGCCCAGTTAGTTTACTTGCAATAGAGGAAGAATGCTCTGTTCCTGTGGTTCATCAAGAAACTCCCTCTGTTAGTTTCGTCGCAAAAGAATCAAATGTGGCTGCTGCAAAAGAAGAAGAATGCTCTGTTCGTCCTGATTATGACATTGCTACTTACCACAAAGAACTTGCTGTGTATGCTGCCTTTATACTTGAATCAATGGTTCCTTACATTCCAGAAGGACCAGAACCACAAGAAGATGAGGATCAAATCCCACTTTTCTGCGAAGATTTTTATATTGGTCATACAAATCTATGGAGTTGAGAGTAATCTGTGATGGTTGATACAACTCATTCTTTGAAGAATTGTATATGATTTTGACAAGAAAACTGCACTGTTTGGATTATAGAGATAATGGTTAGCTGCAAATCAACATTGAGCCCATTACCTCACTTGGTTAGAGCATTGTGCTAATAATGTGAAGGTTGCAGGTTTGAGACCAGCATGGGCCATCTTGTGTTTTATTATTTTCTCCTCAAGTGTCTCTGATACTTTCGGTTCAGTTCTCTTCACAAGCTTTGATTTTTTCATCGTTTTCAACTTTTTTTCCAAGTAGAACTCATAATTAAACACTGAGATTTCAACTACAGCTTTTTATGCGTGCGTCCTTAAATGGTAGTTATACCACTAAGGCTAACTGATCAGCTACCACTGCAGATTTATAACAACAAACGCCAAGAAAATTAGAGTTTGCATATTTGATGACTTCTGGTCAATGTAAACTAGAATGAAGGCTTGTTAAGCAAAACTATGACTGAGGCGAACTGTTGTTGAATACACTAAGTCCAGTGTTTAATTTAATTCAATATAACAAATAACCAAATCTTAATCTTAACTAGTTGGTATCACATAAAAATAAATTTGAAGATAAAGACTGAAAACTTGAACTATTCACAGTTTACAGAAGGTGGGTTGGTGCTCTCACTAGTATATACCACACACATACACAAAAATAGTATGAAGAGGTCAGAGCCAATGCCTGTTATCTCGAGTGTTTTCTTGTGATATCTAATGGTCATTGCTAAGAGCTGCTTGTCTCCACCACCCACATTGACATCAGTTTGCTAATAAGAGACACAGCTAAATTGAGCTTCTCACGACAACATACTGCTTTACAAGTACAAAGGAATAGCGCATTGATACCTAAGAGAAAAGCAAAGACAACAAAGTGAGGTCCATGTAGTGTCTATTTCATCTGTTAATTTTTGACAAATTGCATTTTGGCAAAAGTCCAAAATTAACTTCATCATATTCTAGATGTCAAGAGTAATTAAGAACACATTGGAATCAAAACACGGCTTTCCTGATAGCACCAAATGAAACAAACACACAAAAAAAGTTGGAACTGGAGTTACGTTAGCTGATATGCAGAAGCCTAAATATGGACATCTAGATTCTACAAAGATTTACCAGTAATTAATTCTAACTATTGCTAGTAGAACTTACTTTAAATCACTTATAATCAATATAGACAACTCAACCATAGAACTCCAAGGGGTTGAGGGCCATGATGCACACAAAAAACCTCATAATAAGTCCATCGTCTTCTTTTTTTTGGGATAACAGTGGTGTACGAGTCAGCTTGCATGACTATTCTATTAGGTAACTGCTACCTCCCCCGCCACCAACACAAGTACCAGGTTTGTTATTTCTGCTGGGATTTGAACCCTGATCTCCAAAATTTGCACCAACTTCATTGACCACTAGAGTGCCCTCCTAAGTGTGTCTCTGGCTTACTTTTCTTTAATATTATTAGCAGTTTACCCCACACCAGTAATTGTCCCTCACTCCCCTAATAACAATTCAATGAATTCCTTTCTTTCCAGTTGAACCGACATGAGTGCATCATCCTTGACAATATTATCATCATAAAATCTGAAATACTAACAACTGCAATAACAAAATTGTGCAGAAGGAAAAGAAGAAGGTTGAGGGACTCTTTCAGCAAAAAAAACCATTAATGCATGATTGCAACCCACCAACATGTACGTTAACCTAATGATGAAAGCTACTGTTCAAAAGTGTCTGCCACTATCAATTACTCATTCTACAAATAATACATAAAAACCAGAGCGTAGAAAGAACAGATGGAGAATTTGGGTTGACATTATAATTTAAAACAGCATATCTACAATAATGGACTATATTTCTTATCATGACTAATAATATAAATGAAGTGAAATATCTAAGAGCGGGTTCTAATTGACAGCACACACCTGCAATGGTAGGTCAAACAAGGTCACACTTATACGTGACGACTTGAAATTCTTAGCCTTCTTATCAGCTGCAGAGACCGGAGAAGCAGCTTTAGCAGCAGATTTGGCCAGGGCAGTGGGCTTCAAGGCACTTTTGGGGTTCAGAGACTTTCTTTTTCTTTTTGATGAAGTAAGAGGTTGTATCAAAAGGCTTCAAGGAGATAAGCTCAAAGTTGTTAAGCTAATCAGAGGAGCTAAAGAAGTCTTTAAGGGAAATCACATCATTTATTGCCCACACAGTCCCAAAAGCATGCCCTACAGCATGAATCCCTTCACTGGTTGCCTTAGCTGCTTCTTCTCCATATCTGTGAGAAACAAATTCAGTTGTCACAGTGCCGGATGTAGACATCACATTCTTTCCAGCTACTTCAACCGCATCACATATTCTGCCTATTAACAAGAATATCTGCATTAGGCTTCTTCCAAATTAAGTCATTAACTTGTAAACAAAAAACAATACTTGTGCCAAAGACAATTGCATTGCTGTGAGACCCAGCATATACACTTCTGTCGAAACCACCAAATATCATCTTTCAAGTCTACAATATACATATTGTACTAGCCAGATGCATAAAGTTAATGTTCTTGTCACCCTTATGCCACTTGGCATCCTGTACGAGAGGGTTGGGGGAGGAAGCAAGAGCCACCCAAACATAAAACAATTACTCAAAGTAGTTCAACATCTAAATGTTGAATTATGCCATTAGAAACTCAAGTAAAACTTGTCTTTTCTCCTATCTCCTTGTCTTTCCCTTTGCTAGTTCTGTGCTCTTATAGATTATCATAAAACAAAAGAAGAAAAGAGAGGAGGAATTTCTCTTCTCTTAATCCAAAAATACGGATCAGAATTGCCAAACTTAGAGGCATACAAATTCCACAAAATTAGTTAGAACAGAGAAAAAAAGACGCGACTTACTAAATCCATCAAGAGTGGCAAGAACCATTTCCCCTGGAAGGAGGCTAAAGAACTTTTTTCCTGCTTTGGAATTTGCAAGGGACCTAGTAAAGAATCCTGAAACCTTCACAGCTCCAGATAGGACCCCAACTGCCATTTTCTCTGTCACTTTTGTCACTCTCTTAACACTGAAAAAACACACCCCAACAAATACGTCAAAACTATTACATTGACTATTCACATTAGTATCTAAGACCTTCTTAATGGGACATTCATATCCATCAGCAAGAGGTATCTTAAGAAAAAAGAATCCAGTTTAATGATAGTCCCTTTCCCAGGGGCCAGGAGTGGAAATAGATGAAATCAAACTTTTTGTGCTGCTTATTCCCATACATATTGATAGGCATTTGCAGTAACAAGGAACATCATCAGTAATAGAAACTAGTTACACTCAGATGAACCAAAATTATCTTGGTTCGATAGATGGACTTTAAGGACACATTATTAAAACTGAAAATCAGTTTCAATACATTTATAGCCAAAACAGTTAAGAAAGTGATATCTTAACTTTCTTAGTCCAACAATTTAATTGGATTAGCAAATCTCTAAGAAACAGAGAGCATTCCCATCATGCTATTCTGGCAAGTGGATATGCATCCTCTTCTTTCCACATTCAGAAACTTAGAAACCATTGTATCCTCGTATTTCTTGTTCTATATTTAGGGTAATCCCACAAGTGGGTTCTGGGGAGAGTGGTGTGTACGCAGACCTTACCCCTACCTTGGTATACCAGTCAAGTGATATATAAAAGAGTCATAGTCGATATTACCTTGTAATGACTAAATTAGAAATTTCACTCCAAATGACCTTAATATCAAGCAACCATCTCTCCCATCAATATCCTCTCACTCAATGAATGTTTGTCACAAGAAAACAAAAGAGAAAGCCTTGTGTACGAAAGAAAAAGGCAAGTTTTCTAATTCAACACTTCCACAATCACACCTTCCACTGACATTGACTCATCCCAATCGTTAAAATACTAAAGGCTTAAGGCTGTCACCTATTATGTGGATGTGGGGCTACAAAAGATCTCCTCTACTTCAACTTGCCTGCATTCCCATGTGAAGAGAATAAACAGAAGCACTTCCCTTCACATTGTACCTTCATAGCCCATTTAAGAATTCAACAGGTAGTTTCACTATACTAGACCTTACTTTGCAAAACAGTCAAGAACTCAAAAGATAGCTTATCAAAACGATAAACAATAACAGCAAAACAAAGATATTTAGCTAATCATCAAGCCAGCCAAGCAAGAAAAAGCAAAAGTCCACCAAATCCTAGAAAGGTCATACCGTTTGATCCTCTTCAACGTCTCAGGACTGACCTTAGTCTTCGAACCTGTCTTAAACCTATTCTTCAGAACCTCATTCCCCCTCTTCAATCCATCTGCAGTAACATCTCCGCACCACAAAATCCCCTTTATTAAGTGTCCTGAACCTGAAGCAACTAATTTTGCTGCCTTGGCATTGTACTCCTCCACATTGGGCGCCAATGTCGTCCAATACGCTGCACATCGCTCTTCCAACACCTCCTTCTTCTTCTCCGACTTTAAATCCGCCAGTGACAACTCCTTCGCCACCGGTCCACCCAATCCCACCGCGGCCTTTTCTTCCACTTTCTGCACCGCAAAATTGCTGTAATTTTCCAAAATACCATCCAGCTCCTTCAATAATTTCTCCTGTCCCTTGGAAGCAATCGTCAAACCATAATTCAACGAATCACCGACTGATTCTGTATCCGATTCATCGTCTTTGGGAGCTTGAAATGAGAAAAAGTAATGCGAATCATCGAGCTTTACCGCGGTAAGGTCCTTAGTCAACAGCCACTGGATTTCATTTCCAACACTAACAAGTAGAGCGACGATATTGTTCCCTTGTCGGAGACGATGTAGAAATAAATCGCCAGTGGCGAGTTCAATGGAATAGTGCTTGTCAATCAAGTGAAGAATGGAACCGGGGATAACGAGAAGGGTTTCTTCAAGGATTTCAGGAGGGGCATATGGTGAATAATGCTGTTCTTCAGGGGCAGTTTGATCATTTTGAGGGAAGAGATTTTCTACAAGGTCGTTCATGTCAATAATTGGGTAAAGGTTTTGGCGAGAGGTTGAAGAGGGGAAAGGGGTATTTTGGTCAATTAGTAGTTGAGGATACATTGAAGAGGAATTAGGGTTTTTAGAAGCCATTGAAGTAGCAGGAGTGATCAAAGTGAAGTTGAAGTTGAAGTTGGTGGTTGGCAATATTAGAATTTCGCGGGCAAGCATCCATATTTGTTTCTTTTGTTTCAACTGTATTCAAAATAAGTGTACTTTGACTTGTTTCTTTTGTAATTCAATTATTCAAAGTAAGTGTATTTATTTCTTTTGTCAATCAATTATTCAAAATAGGTGTACTATTGTAACATGAGAGAAATCTATAAATAATGAATAAGAAATAAAGATAAGATATGGGACACAATGTAATATTTTATTACTTTCTAATATGTTTTTAATTGTACTAGTTCTTGAAACATGCGTTGTAATAAGAGACTGAGAGACATAAATCAATTGTAAAATGCTTTTAATCGTATGAATCCATTAGATAAAGTCGTCATTTGTCTTTACAAGATATATCCTTAAGACGATGTCTTTGACATGCCTCAAGCTATAAAAATTTCCGTAATTTTTAATATTTTCCAACACTTCGATGCTGTAAGGATCGAAGTTTTGTACTGCTCTAAAGAATGGCGAATTGAGCAAAACGAGACTCCAATTTTTTTTCTTGAATATGGGAATGGAGAAAATTGTGGTGAATGAAACTTTTTTTGTTCTTTTGGATTTGATGTTTCAAAAAGTAAAAATTGAAACAGGAACACCATTATATAAGTTGAGAGGATAACTTTTCAAAGAAGGATATACAATTTCTTTTTTCTTTCTTTCATGGGTTGGGCACAAATAATTTTATATTGGACTGATTTTAGTCCAACCCAACATAACTCATTTTTAAGTGATCTTCAATTTAGTTCAATATTAACCTAATTCTAATCCATGTTTAAGATTTACTTTAATTTGAAACTATTACTTGATATTTACTTTGATTTTTGTATGAGCCGAAGCTAGCGTCTCGAGTCTCGAATTAATAGTCTCAGATCAAGGTCGTATCCCGAGTTAGGATTGGGTCTCGGATCACAAGTTTCGAGTCAAGGTGGGGATTGGGTCCATGATAAAGACTAAGGCTCGGGTTCTAGGTCAAGATCACTCCTGGATATGGATCAGAACTCGAACCTCGAGTCCCTCGGGTTCAATTCCCAAATCTTGGGTTAGAGTTAGATTTTGGCTCGGGTCCTAAGTAAGGTTCAAGGATTGGGTCTTGAGTCTTGGTTTTATGGTCAAATTCAAGGCTCGAGTTTTGAGTCATGTCGGAGATCATTTTTGTAGCATCAAAAATAAGAAAAGATGAAAATCGACCTTCGGAGTTCAGTTTATTTAATAAATTCTTTTTGCCAAAACTAGCCTCCTGAAATCATTTATTATGGTTAAGCAGTAAATTAAGGTGATAATAGTCAATAGATACATTCATTAATCATGAGTTAGTATAAAAGGTAGGTGTATCTAATTAGACTTAAACTTAAATTAAGGTTAATCCGTAATATTAATTAGGCTCGCTTACTCAAAGACAAGGTAGTGTCTTGAAAATTCTTAAGCACTTGTTTAGTATACGGGATGAGATAAGTAAATATATCTCATCTTCTATATGAGATAGTAGTCTCACTAATTATAACTTTATCATCTTATCTATAAAATACTACACATATTAATACAAGTTACAACGAGGTATTAACACTTTGGGTGTGTACAAGTAAGCATTCAAACTTGTATAAAATTACATTGAACAAGTAGACAATGACGTCTTATGTAACAATTCACATCCTACATGACGCCCTATGTGGCAATTCACATCCTACATGACGTCCTACGTGTAATATGCCACGTAAGATATGTGTCTATTTGTTCAATTTTATACAAGTTTGAGTGTTTACTTGTGCACACTTAAAGTTGGAGACATAGATGTCAAGTGAAGCCAAATTAAATGACACATTTATGTATTATGCCAAAAAAAGGAACGAACATATGCTCTCTTCTCATTACTCATGTAGATTTGAGGGCAGCAACTCTCATGATTGTTTTAGCCATGTCCCAGCCTCCTGATGAGGAGAAAACACTACGACAACATCTCCAAAATAATATTCATCAACACATAAACCAACATATGTCTTACAACTTCATACCAATTCATCTACCAGGTCTACACCCAAAATTGAATTGAAATTAATTAAATTCATTCATGGAGAGTTAGCCATTGAATCCACTATAGATGAAGTTAATGAATTCAGCATAGAGGAAGGACTACATCAAGCAGTTATTCTCAAATTTTCTTATGGAAAACTAGATTTAATGAGTTGCGCAAGGTTATTCAGAAGTTACTCAATATCAAAGGTCACTATATCAAAAATGATTTTTCGCGTCAATTAATTAATGACAATAGCTTAGTTGCCACTAAATATGTACTTTTAGCGACAATTAACACTCTTTGTATATGTCCCTAAAACCTTTAGCGACATTGGATCCAATGACAATAAACTAATGCCGGTAAAAACTTTAACACTCTTTATTAATGTGTATATTTATTGCCACTAAAAAATGTTTTTGTTGTAGTGGGTCATTGTAACATGGGCCAACTTGAGTTGTCATCTCTTGATCAAGTTTGATTTCTATGAAGACTTTATTCAAGTTTTATCGAGATATTCTGGTTATATTATTTATCAATAAAATACTAGATGTGTTAAGCTAAGGCAATGTAATCTTAACATCAATATTATTATTCTTATCCCACGTACCCAACGAACTCTAAATCTTTTCTTCTAACTAAAGTATTTCAGTACCTAATCCTGCTTTTTGTTCATAATTTCAAACTTCGGTCTAGAAGCATATGTTGGCTTTGTTTCACGTATAATCTCACTCGAATTTTTATTACTTATAATAGTCAAATTATTAAACTATTATTTGAAGCATTAAAATAATTAAATTTTACTTACTATATTTTATAACAATAAAAGATAAAATTAGTTAAGGGTAAATATATATTACGTACGTGTGATTTGGTAAAGAAATATAAAAAAAATTCTAATCAACAAAAAAAAAAAAAAAACTCTCTATATATACATAGAAAGGTGGAGTGAGTATTCATTTTCTTTCTGCAAAAAAATCCTCACTCGCGCTCTCTTCTTCTTCTTCCTCTGTTTCTTTTGTTTTCGATAAAAAAATGGGGACGAATATCGAAGATGAACAACTCATTGGGTATCTTATCAATTTTGTTACTGGTATGCCTGTTGGATGCGATGAAATTCGTATTGTAGAGTTGTATGGCAACAAGAAGCCATCTCAGTTATTCGATACGACTACTACTAATCATCATCATGTCTTCACTCAGTTAAAGAAAATAAAAGAGAATGGTAAGAACTTCAACAGGGCAATTGTTGGCGGAGGCGGCTCATGGAAAGAAAGCTACCCCATGGAACACGTTGTCGACAAGAATAAATCAGTGATTGGTATCAAGAAAGAATTCCGCTTTAAAGAAGAAAATCATGTCTGGATTATGAAAGACTATAGCCTTATTGATAGTAAACTAAAGGGCTTGAGTGGTCGAATTCAACATGAGGGATTTGTTGTATGTCGCATTATGAGGGACAGTTCTTCATCACAATGTCAAGGAAGTGTGAAATCCTTCGCTCAAGAAAATCATGATGAGTGCTCTGTTCGTCAAGAAGTTGTTCATCAAGAAACTCATCCCGATGTGTATACTCAATTCAATGTTTCGTAACATTCCGGAACCATTGGATGGGAACATCAGCCAAGTTGGTTTACTTGCAAAAGGATCAAATGTGACCCAATTGCCTGCTGTAAAAGAAGATGAATGCTCTGTTCCTGTGGTTCATCAACAAACTCCCTCTGTTAGTTTACTCCCAAAAGAATCAAATGTGACTGCTGCAAACGAAGAGGAATGCTCTGTTTCTGAGGTTCATGAAGAAACTCACTCTGTTAGTTTCTTCAAGTTTCTCTGATTATGCCCTTTTCTCTCACATCCGAATTCTTTCTTATTCATGTGTATGTCTCTCCACTGCTATCTGTAGGAGAGTTTAGTTGCACCTACTACTTTGGTATTTTCGGTTCAGTTGTCTTCACAACTTCGATTTTTTCATCATTTTTCAGTTAGTTACGTAAAACTGTAATGGCAAGTTCCAAGTCTTAATACAGGTTTTCATCTACAATTTTTTTCAAGTTCAACTTCAAATACTCAAATATTGTCCCTGAGCCTATCGTAATCACCCCTCCCCAAAACTGCTTAAGTGTTTTATGCATCTTAAAAAGAGTTATACCACTAAGAGATAACATTAGTTGAAGAAAAAAAGATAGAGACGGAGTCCATCTAAAGTGAGCTTGAAAAAGAGAAGGAAAAGGTGAAAAAATTGAAGAGCAATTTGGTTAATGCCAAAAGTACAGAGAATGTGCTTTGGTAATATTATCTTGTGGGACTCTCTTCTAGATGTAATATCTAAAATGCGACTTGATCATTTGAATCATGGTGCAAGTTGGTTGCCATAGGTTGATGTGTAATTGTAGAACTTAGTGTAGTTGTGAGATTAAGAGTTTAATCTCCTTATGTCTACTTGAAGTTTGTATTTCACTTGTTGCTTGAAAATAGTGAAAACAGTTGAAAACCATGTGTGACAGGTCGTGGTTTTTTTTGCCTTGAGCAAGGAGGTGGTGCATAGTGAAACATTTTACTAGCACATCTGGTTCACTTCTTAGCACATTCATGTCTAGTGTAGTTTCATAAGTGGAGTTTGGGATGGATACAATGCACGCAGATCGTACCCTTACCTCATGGAAGGTAGATAGACAATTTTCGAGAGACTCTAGGCTTCAAAAAAATTATTTCAAAGCAGATGACATCCAAGGTGAAATACGTATGATATTTGATGTTGTTGTAAGGGTAACAAACAATGATAACTAATAGGGCGACAAAGGCTACAGATGCTAAATTTCTACCCTTAACAGTGGCAGAGAAGAAGTGATGCAATTTTTGAAGATTTGCTTGGTTGCAAAACAGTTTATGTAGCTCTAAATTAAAGTTATGTCAAAATGTACCAAAATGCCCTTTAATCTTGTGGCCTTAAACATGCCACATGGAAAGTCGAAGTTAAA